TTCTACCTATTGCTTCATTAATTTAACCACCAATTTTTAAAAATTTTTAAGCTTCTCTAATTTTGCAACACACTGTAAATGCAAGGAAAGGAAGCACACGTGGCTGAGGCAAAGAGCACAACCCTTCTGACTGTAAACAGGATTTTGCTTTTTCGCCTCTTCCGCCCCCAGCGGTGGGGAAGCTTGACCTCTTTGTCCCCCCCTCTGAAATGTGTTAACCAGGCACCAAAATAAGGAATCTATGAAAAAATATTTGGTGCAAATTAGGTAACAGCAACATGTCCACCACAAGATGAGTAGGGCATCAAACACAACATTTCTTAAGCTAACATGCTCCAGCTGCCATCCATAGAAATAGCTAAAGGACCCCTAACATGTTTCTACGCGTTTGAGAGGTATATATATACAATCCCCATTAAATGCAGGATTGACAGGCCAGACTACCACAACTAGCTCCTTCATATTCAACTAAATCTTCAGCAACACGGAGTCTCTGAGCTCCGGGAATGCCAGTTCCCTCTCCCTGGGCCTGTATCCTGCGTATGTGCAATATCTCCTACCCCTAGATATTGTACTGCCATCTCCTCCTCCTCGCTCACGAGCCTGCAGACATTTTTCTCTCAATCAAATGGCTCAGAAGGCAAAAAATTTTGCTGCAAGGGTCTATGGCCATACGACCTGGTAAGGAAAATGGTGTGTCCAGCCAGTCTTTTCAGCTGTCCGAGCCGAGCTGTGTTTCAATGTCCACCCTGCAGATCGGGCACTTCTTGCTGGTGGCCAGCCACTGGTCCACACACACTTGGTGGAAGAGATGCATACAGGGCAACCGCCTGCAGGGAGAGAAGTACCAACCCGTCAGGAGGGAAGAGGCCCAGAGGACCAAGGAGAGCCAGAAAGCAGCAGCCAGGGCTTCTTGGAAGGTGGGAAAACACCAGGATAGTGACACCAGTCCTACAGGCTCCCCCAGCAATGACAGGTCAGAGATCATAAAATCACAGAATGGCTAGGGTTAGAAGGGACCTTAAAGATCAGCTGGATGATGATCACCAAGATGATGCTCACCGAGACCTTAAAGATCACCAAGATGGTGTCCTTCCTGGCCAAAAGCCTTCTATAAAACCCCACACCCTCCTGAACTGACTTGTTCCAATTATTAATTACCCTGGTTGCTGTGTTCTAACCTTTCAGGAGTGTTAGGAGTGTAGATATACTCCAAAGTCTCTTGGTTCTTTCTCAGTGTGACTTGTTAGAAATCAGGTACGTCCCCTCCCTTCCTGTATAGGTGTCTGCTGTGTCCCAGGGAATGTGGTTGCTTTTCGCCTTTGTCATCTCTTCATCCACCATCATGAACCAGAAGGACTATGAACCCCAAGGACCCAGAGCAAGAGGATCAGAGTTTTTCTTGGTGGTTTAAGGTAACTAAAGGGTGAGAAGGAGAACCAGCTACTGCAGCTGCACTGCTCACCTGCAGCTCCTTCAACCATAGTAGCTTAGACCCTTGCAATTGCTTGTTGCCATCCTCTGTCTCAACCAGAGATAAGAGCCTGGAGCATCTGTAAGGGGAAACTGGGACTTCGTTGTTGGCTCAGGATGGCTCCCTGTGACCATGTGGACTGAGCAATCTCACTTACTCTACAATGAAGTGGCTCCATCCTGACCACAGGCCAAACTTCCCTGGACTTTACACTCCCTTTTATCCTGCTTTAGTCATCTCTCCAGCTCAGATGTTGATGTTCCTGAGCTCCAGATGGCTGTCTGAGACCTGGGGCCCATGCTTCTCTGACACTTGCCACCCAGCCCGTTGGCACCCGTCCTGAAGCCAGGGATCCAAACCCAGGAGATACTAAAGCAACTTGTCCCTCCTGCTGCTGCAGAACTCTTCCTACCTACCACCCATAATGATGTCCATCTAAATGGTATTTGGTTTTGCTCACCCCGCCACAGCCCAGCTGAGTTTGTTAGGACAAGAACAGGGATAACCCCACCAGCACATGGTGTCATTAATCCCGATAAACCCGACTCAGATGGTGCTGGGAGCAGATGAAAAGGTTGTACCTGACGTCTTCTCCATCTTCAAGCATGGACAGACAGATTGTGCATTTCTCATCCGTGTCTGACTCTTCTCCATCCTCCTGCTCAGCTTTGCCCTCCTGCGGTCTTCTCTGCAGCAAGGTTGAAGGTATAACTTGGTTAGGATTTAACTTTCTAACACTCTCCCAAGGCTGGATAGTTGCAGGAAGGCACATAATAAGAGCTTCATCTACCAGCCAGCTTGAGGAAGTCAGCCCAGCTAAAACAGCCAATGAGGGGAGGAGTCCACCAACATGCTGCTGGTGGGCATGTCTGTCCCCGGGGCTGGAGGCAGTGGGGCTGCTGTTAGTGTCCCAAAGAGCAGCCTGTCCTCTGCTATCCTAATATAGCCACCATCCTGCAGTGGAGGTGGCCCCATAGTCTCCTTTGCTGGAGGCTTCTCCTGGACACCCCAAAGCATGTGGGGCCACCACTGCCAGGAAGGGCAACCACCATGCCTCATGCCAAGCTGGCCACCAGCCCAGCCTCACACTGTGCTCAGCCTTTCAGCTCTCCCCTTTTCTATCCTCCCCACTCCCCACCCGTTCCTATTGTTATCATCATTTTTCTGTATCCACTGGAGATGTGATCAAAGATAAGCACAGCAGGAGTTGAATCACTTCCAACCTGGGCAACACAACATCCCTACTTGTTACTGCCCAGCAGGGAGTGAATAACACATGAAATCACTACGCAAACAAGCACTTTTTCCATTTTCTGTTTAGCACGACCCAAAAACAAGGCACCCATTTCCTTATGGGCAGGAGATCAGCTCCAGCAGGGGAGATCTCTCTTGCAAAAGGAGGGGAGGACGAGCTCCCCCAGGCCATGGAGCCTCATGGCAGGGCACGCGGGCAGTGCTGCTTGCATGCAGAATGGGGTGGGTTTGCATGCACGAAGCCCCCTTGGTGTGTGCACTTTCTTACCAGGTGCGGACAGGGGGGAAATTGAACCCGCTGGGTGGGAGAAGGTTGAGACCCTTTTGAAAATTTGGCCCGCAGCTTCCTAGCCTAGAAGTGAGAAACAGCCAGCTGAGCAACACCACTGCTTCAGCCCGGGAGCCCCACAAAATCATTCAAGGACCAATTCTGGATTTTATATTCCTCCCCCGCTGCGGGGAATATTGACAGCGCCGGTTTGCCAACCCTGAGGACTGCAAGCCACCAAAGTTCTTCTTCTCTGTCCACTCCATGCCCCACAAACCCTTGGGCAGCTGAGAGGGACTGGTGGCCATGCCGTGGTTTGTTTCAGGACACTCACCTTCTTGTACTTGTGGGGGAAGGTGAACCTCTCGATGGTGTTCTGGACGGCACCGCGGCTCACGCTGCCCAGCCTGTCCTCCAGCTGCAGCAGCTCCTGCGGCACAGGGACAGCACCAAAGCACCATCAGCCTTGCTCCAAGGGCAGGAGGTCCCACCATCCCACCCCACCTGCTTGGGACCAAGGCTTCCTCCTACCCTGTTCTTGGTGGAGTTGTCCACCAAACCCAAACGAGTCATGCTTTAATGATGCACTTGAGCCTCGGCTCTTGGAGCAATAACTGAGGGTTCAAGGCCCAGTGGAAACATCCATTCAATCCAAACCAGTAACACTTAAATGATGGATCCAAGCCCTGGCTTTTGGACCAATAACTAGAGGGGCAAAGAGCTGGATGTATTTCAGAAATCAGGGTGGAATCTGAGTTCTGTTTGACAGGCTGGGAAACAGAAACCCTGCAGAACTGGAGCACTGTGTTGACAGGCATCAAGTCAGCCAGAGTCCACCCGAGCCAAACTCGGGCACTTTGAAGCAAACCACCTTTCACCAAACCCACTCAACCCCCTCCCCTGCCAGTTGTTACTAAAATTGCTGCAAGACACGACACTAAAGCAGTCCTACAAGTTTACTCCAGGGCTTGCAGAGGTTTCTGGTGCTGAAAAATGTAATAACAATCCCAGTCCCTGAGACACCTACTTCATAGCTCTCCCGCACCGCGGATGTGTGCCGGCTTGAGTTGAGTCCCTGGAGAGCAAGTAACTGAAGCTGAGGATAAGGGTAACTTCTGATTTCGTGAACAACCTGTGAGAAGCGAGGGAGAAAAATAAAGCCACTTGTACCTCCACACAGAAATCCCTTGTGTGCCCTAATTCAAATGTAGTGCTTTAAAACTTCAGCTTGAAAGAGCAGGCCAGCACCTTTTCCAATGGAAGCATTTCAATACCAACAACAACAAAAAAGACATTTAATTAAATAGATTGCCTATAAATGATAACTAAGAACAGGCATTTCTTCCAAATAAACTGTTACAATAACTCCTGTTGCATCTAAAACATTGCAGTCCCAAACTCTGCATGGATTGGCTTAAAGCAGCATTTTATTTTATGTATTTTTAAATTGATGGGTCTCTCTTCATCCAAGCTTTGATTTTTTTTTAAGCCTCACTGTAGCACACTGGTGTCAGGGTCCAACTATGGGCACGAGGGGAAAACACCCTTGTGGGATTTCTGAGAGTGCTTTAAGGATTAGCAGTGCTCAGCGTGGCTCAGCTCCCAGGGCAGCACCCTGCTAGCAGAAGAGCCAGCAGACGACCCCCATCAGCCCATCTTCTCATTAGTCTCCACCTGGGCAAGGGGTTGTGCAAACCCTTTGCAGGTGGCATCGAGGCTGATGCAGAGAGCAATGATGCGATGAGGGAAAGCCCCTCAGGGCTGGGGCCCCAGGCAAGGAATAACCTATTGCCAACCGTTCTGCATACACAAAGTCCTGGGAGCCCAGCATTATGTTCCAGTGTGAACACTATTGTCAGTAATAACTGCTGAGTCTCTCACATCCTGCCTAGGTTTTGCAGACCAGCTTGTGAGCGTGGTGCTGCACACGACGGAACGAATCTTTCCAGAGCAGCTGAGCTTTTCTTTCCTTTCCCTAATCCAGAGTGCAATGATGCAACATTATCCTTCCAGCCACCCCCCCCCACGGCCGGAGATAAGTGGGATTTGCAGAAGACAGGTGATAGAAAGATAGCAGCCTTTATTTTGAAGTCCACCAACATGCTGCTGGTGGGCATGTCTGTCCCCGGGGCTGGAGGCAGTGGGGCTGCTGTTAGTGTCCCAAAGAGCAGCCTGTCCTCTGCTATCCTAATATAGCCACCATCCTGCAGTGGAGGTGGCCCCATAGTCTCCTTTGCTGGAGGCTTCTCCTGGACACCCCAAAGCATGTGGGGCCACCACTGCCAGGAAGGGCAACCACCATGCCTCATGCCAAGCTGGCCACCAGCCCAGCCTCACACTGTGCTCAGCCTTTCAGCTCTCCCCTTTTCTATCCTCCCCACTCCCCACCCGTTCCTATTGTTATCATCATTTTTCTGTATCCACTGGAGATGTGATCAAAGATAAGCACAGCAGGAGTTGAATCACTTCCAACCTGGGCAACACAACATCCCTACTTGTTACTGCCCAGCAGGGAGTGAATAACACATGAAATCACTACGCAAACAAGCACTTTTTCCATTTTCTGTTTAGCACGACCCAAAAACAAGGCACCCATTTCCTTATGGGCAGGAGATCAGCTCCAGCAGGGGAGATCTCTCTTGCAAAAGGAGGGGAGGACGAGCTCCCCCAGGCCATGGAGCCTCATGGCAGGGCACGCGGGCAGTGCTGCTTGCATGCAGAATGGGGTGGGTTTGCATGCACGAAGCCCCCTTGGTGTGTGCACTTTCTTACCAGGTGCGGACAGGGGGGAAATTGAACCCGCTGGGTGGGAGAAGGTTGAGACCCTTTTGAAAATTTGGCCCGCAGCTTCCTAGCCTAGAAGTGAGAAACAGCCAGCTGAGCAACACCACTGCTTCAGCCCGGGAGCCCCACAAAATCATTCAAGGACCAATTCTGGATTTTATATTCCTCCCCCGCTGCGGGGAATATTGACAGCGCCGGTTTGCCAACCCTGAGGACTGCAAGCCACCAAAGTTCTTCTTCTCTGTCCACTCCATGCCCCACAAACCCTTGGGCAGCTGAGAGGGACTGGTGGCCATGCCGTGGTTTGTTTCAGGACACTCACCTTCTTGTACTTGTGGGGGAAGGTGAACCTCTCGATGGTGTTCTGGACGGCACCGCGGCTCACGCTGCCCAGCCTGTCCTCCAGCTGCAGCAGCTCCTGCGGCACAGGGACAGCACCAAAGCACCATCAGCCTTGCTCCAAGGGCAGGAGGTCCCACCATCCCACCCCACCTGCTTGGGACCAAGGCTTCCTCCTACCCTGTTCTTGGTGGAGTTGTCCACCAAACCCAAACGAGTCATGCTTTAATGATGCACTTGAGCCTCGGCTCTTGGAGCAATAACTGAGGGTTCAAGGCCCAGTGGAAACATCCATTCAATCCAAACCAGTAACACTTAAATGATGGATCCAAGCCCTGGCTTTTGGACCAATAACTAGAGGGGCAAAGAGCTGGATGTATTTCAGAAATCAGGGTGGAATCTGAGTTCTGTTTGACAGGCTGGGAAACAGAAACCCTGCAGAACTGGAGCACTGTGTTGACAGGCATCAAGTCAGCCAGAGTCCACCCGAGCCAAACTCGGGCACTTTGAAGCAAACCACCTTTCACCAAACCCACTCAACCCCCTCCCCTGCCAGTTGTTACTAAAATTGCTGCAAGACACGACACTAAAGCAGTCCTACAAGTTTACTCCAGGGCTTGCAGAGGTTTCTGGTGCTGAAAAATGTAATAACAATCCCAGTCCCTGAGACACCTACTTCATAGCTCTCCCGCACCGCGGATGTGTGCCGGCTTGAGTTGAGTCCCTGGAGAGCAAGTAACTGAAGCTGAGGATAAGGGTAACTTCTGATTTCGTGAACAACCTGTGAGAAGCGAGGGAGAAAAATAAAGCCACTTGTACCTCCACACAGAAATCCCTTGTGTGCCCTAATTCAAATGTAGTGCTTTAAAACTTCAGCTTGAAAGAGCAGGCCAGCACCTTTTCCAATGGAAGCATTTCAATACCAACAACAACAAAAAAGACATTTAATTAAATAGATTGCCTATAAATGATAACTAAGAACAGGCATTTCTTCCAAATAAACTGTTACAATAACTCCTGTTGCATCTAAAACATTGCAGTCCCAAACTCTGCATGGATTGGCTTAAAGCAGCATTTTATTTTATGTATTTTTAAATTGATGGGTCTCTCTTCATCCAAGCTTTGATTTTTTTTTAAGCCTCACTGTAGCACACTGGTGTCAGGGTCCAACTATGGGCACGAGGGGAAAACACCCTTGTGGGATTTCTGAGAGTGCTTTAAGGATTAGCAGTGCTCAGCGTGGCTCAGCTCCCAGGGCAGCACCCTGCTAGCAGAAGAGCCAGCAGACGACCCCCATCAGCCCATCTTCTCATTAGTCTCCACCTGGGCAAGGGGTTGTGCAAACCCTTTGCAGGTGGCATCGAGGCTGATGCAGAGAGCAATGATGCGATGAGGGAAAGCCCCTCAGGGCTGGGGCCCCAGGCAAGGAATAACCTATTGCCAACCGTTCTGCATACACAAAGTCCTGGGAGCCCAGCATTATGTTCCAGTGTGAACACTATTGTCAGTAATAACTGCTGAGTCTCTCACATCCTGCCTAGGTTTTGCAGACCAGCTTGTGAGCGTGGTGCTGCACACGACGGAACGAATCTTTCCAGAGCAGCTGAGCTTTTCTTTCCTTTCCCTAATCCAGAGTGCAATGATGCAACATTATCCTTTCAGACACTCCCTCCCACGGCCGGAGATAAGTGGGATTTGCAGAAGACAGGTGATAGAAAGATAGCAGCCTTTATTTTGACTTCTTTCTGGCAGACAATGCATAAAACATTTCTCAGCAAAAGCACTTCACTTACCATCTGTGTCGAGGATGTGCTTCTGGGGAAATGGTGCACCCGAGGTGTAGCCAAGTAGTGCTGATAGGGCTGAGGGACTGGCCGGACCTGGAACTGCGCGTGAGTCAGTCCTGCATCCACACTGAGGTCCCTGTGAGCAGGAGGGTGCAGAGAGAGCTTTGACTGCCTGGTTTCATTGCATGGCCTGCAGCCAGTAAGAATGTGCTCCCAGGGCAGCTTCCACTGGTGGCCTCTGGGCTGCTGTGGGTGTCTCTGCCTGGGGTGACGCTGCAGCGTGGAAGGGAGTCCCCTCCAGTTTGGGCAACCACCCACCACGGTAGCACGGAGGACTGGGGGATATTTTTATGCCAGCTAGCATTTGTGTTAGGGGGAGTCATAGAGCTGTACAAGAACTGCACAATTAGCTGCTTGCTAATTTCATAGCCAGTACATTTTGCTGGCTCCAATCAATCCCCAGGTGCAGTAACTCGACCTGGCCAGCCCAGGTCCTCCTGTGCTGCCATCACTGCAAAGTTAAATTTTGCCTTGAGTATTTTGCAGGAACACAGCTAATTACTATGGGGACACACAGATTAGGAGTTCTGGGTAGCTGACAAGAGCCAGCTAGGCACCATCTGGGGGATTTTTTATGTGCTTGTGCTCTCCTCAGAGGTATCTCAGCCCAGGCCATGGGAGACCTAGGGAGACAGGGGAGAGTGCAGCTCACCTGAGCCTGGTTTCAGAAAACCCCAGAACTGCTATTTGTGCAGAAAATAGAAAAGTTTAAAGAAATTTCTGAATGAAAATGCTGTAGGAAACAGAGTCACATGACCAACAGGCCAACACAGATGAAGCAGAACACCCCCAGTGGTCCCACTTGCCTGCAGAAAGCCTGGCCAGGGCAGGTGAGACTGGAGCTGATGTTGGTGAGTTTGGGCACATTTTTCCCTCCAGGAAAGTAACCCAGCTCAATCCCAGGACTTGGCATAACCAAGATCCCAGCAAACACCACAGTGTTGCCCAATCCAGCACACAGAGACATGGAGGAGACAGAAGAAGACCTAAAGCAGCATCTTCAGCTACAATTCAATTAGCCAGTCTCTTCTCTCCAGCCTAAGTGTTTCTCAGCAAACAAAATATTTGAACACCATTCACTTTATCATAATTACAAAAGGTGCTCTCACTGGCTTCACATTTGCCAAAGCTGAGATAATTAGAGCACTGGTGTGGCTCACTGTTTCAGCCTCCAACATCTCCCTGACACAGAGGACTGCAGCAGCAAGTGCCACGGCTTGTGAGGAGGAGCCCAGGCATGTCCTGCTGCAGCTGCAAATGCCTTCACCCAACAGCAGATTACAGATGAGAGGGGACAGTAAATGCAGAAATCCTTTACCCACAACAGCTTCAGTACCAGGCAGCAGGTTTAGTTCCACCTAATAAGATCCCTCACACCAAGCTGAAGCAAAGAGAGGAGCTGTCTTTGCTGGCTCTGTGCTAGCCATGTCCTGTAGACAAACAAAATCTAGCAGAAGATAAAACACAGCAGGTGACTGGCAGGAGCAGAACCATGGTGAGAATCTGCAGGACTAGGCTTTTTTCAGCTTCTGTCTGACAATTTTTGATGTTTCTGAATGGGCAAAGACTGTTCCCAGGTGGATGGAAGGCTTGGCTGGAAATCAGGACGCTTTGGGTCCATTCCCAGTCCTGTCACTGCTGTGGTGTATGACCTTGATCACTTCCTCTCTGCCTCCCTGTACTCCTTGTCCACAAAATAGATGTGATAATCCACAGGGTGCTTTGAGATCAAGGACTGAAGAGATGTCTCAAAGATGAGCAGCTGTTATTAACTTACACAAGGAATTGCAATAAGAGCACTGCTGAGCTGTTTGTGCACTCGTGCATCTAGATCCTCAAAACTAGATACTGAGGCTCCTGAAGTGATGCTGTGGGTCTACAGAAGGGCTCAAAGCAGAATACTGCATGGAACTGTGTTTTTCCAGGGTTTGGGGGTGAATAAGCAGGGCGGATTAGCTGAAGAAACCCAATACCAGGTATCATCTTCTGGCCTGTACTTCATGGGCAACTGTACAACATCACTTGCGGCTCAAGAGCTAGGATGCCTGTGGTAGCACAGGCTGCCAGCCACCAAAAAGTGAAGGATAAGGACCTGGATGAAAGGTTGGATGGCTGTCACTAAAAGTGGATGCAGAAGATAACTTAAAGAACCAAAGAGGAGCTTATTTCTTCTTTGCCACACAGCTTTAGCTCAGATTGGGCTGCCTGAGATGAATGATCACCTTCAGATCTCCCTTCCATCCCCATTTCCCATGATAGACTCTACCCCCTCCAGCCTCTCAGTGAGCATTGCTGCTGCTTCTCCTGCTGTGGTAACACATCAGAAGAAGGTTTTTATATCTGTCACAGGGCACAACTGTGTGTGTGCCCCAAGGGGAACTGAGTCACCCAAATATATACACACAGTATATGATTTCTGTCATCCTGCTCCTTAGGCTTTACAAGGCAATGGAGCAACACGGGGCTGGGGGACTGGGCAAGAGGGGGGGGTATGGGAGGAGGAGAGAGGAGGAAGGGAACATAAAGCACGGCTTTATCAGATCCTTTTAATGATTATAATTAAATACTCTGAGCTGAAAGAGAGGCAGAAAGAATGGCTCTATCCAGATGGTACATGAACCACTTTGGAAACTGATCTGAACAATGTCATCCTGGCCAAATCCAGCTCACAGAGGTGCCAGTAATGGGAACACCTGAGAAGAAAATGGCAGAAGGATCTGTCCATATTTGACGTTGCATATTATTACCCCAGAGGGAGGAAAAAACTCCCCTGTGTTAAGCAGACTCTCCATTTGCAGAGTGAAGCTCTCAGATGTTAGGAAATGCCATAATTAAGATTTTCTGTGACATTTCATTCCGGTCCCCTTGTGCATACACATTGAGACTGTCTCTAATTACAAGTTCACATGCTATTCTTTCCATTCAGTGTGCAGAATGGACATTGCTCAGCTAACAAGCAGCTCTTCAGAAGCATGTTTTTATTTTCTTACTCTTCCAAGAAGGGCCCAGTACCTTATTAACTGTGCAAGAGCTCAAAACCCGCTCTTAAAATGAAAGGATCAATTCCCTGCTCGGCCCTTCCACGATATCAAATACTACACTGGGAGAATGATTAACAAGTATTAATTCATTCATACCAAAGAGCAGGGGAAGGACAGTAATGTGCTACCTAATTTAGACCATGGAAAAAGATGTAGCCACTCTTTTTTGAGAGACTGATGGGCAGCAGAAGATCCAGTTCAGGCAGAGATGCCGGTCTACAGGAAGAACACCATGGCTCTGCCCTGCAGCTGGAAAAGCCCTTCTGGGAGAATGAATGCTTGGCTGCACTCTACGTTCACTGATGGAGAGTTACGGGCAATATTAATGCCTTTATGTTATTTAGTTTGGATATTAGGAAAAAATTCCATACTGAAAGAGTTGTCAGGCACTGAAACAGGCTGCCCATGGGAGTGGTTGAGTCACCACCATCTCTGGAGGGATTTCAAAGCCGTGTAGATGTGGCGTTGAGGGCCACGGTTTAGTGGTGGTTTTGACAGTGCTGGGTTAACAGTTGGACTTGATGAACTTAAAGATCTTTTCCAACCAAAACTGTTCTGTGATTCTACATACCTGCATAAAGGCTTTAGCGTGCCCTCATGGCCCTCCCAGAGACGAGTTTTCCCATTGCATACTCCCCACACTGTATCTGCTGAGCTGAACCCTCAGATTTCACGAAAGCACTGACCCATGACAACATTCCCCAACACTTGCAGCCTCCCCAGGTCTTCCCAAGCACCTCATTCAACGGTAAAATATGGAAGACTTACCAGTCTGTGCCTTCAGCTAGGTATCTGGGCTGGGGCCCCATGGGTTGTGGTGTCTGCAGTTGGTGGCTGAAGTCAAAGCTGGGGTGTAGCCGGTGAGGCTGAACCGACATGCGCTCTTGAGCCCGCCTGTGGGGAGGAGGGGACCAGCCAGAGCATTAGCCAGGGAGATTGCACTGGTCTGTGCAGCTCCTGCCCTGAGACCATACCAAGGAACCAGGGGAAAACCCACACAGTTGGGCTTGTGAATATGTGTCCAAGAGAAAAGAGCCCAGGCAGGTGTGAAGGATGAAGGGAAGAGGAACCCAGAGCTGTGTCATTTACTCATGGTCACCACAGACAGGGTGGACCTCCAGTCTCACCCCCTGTGGCATCCACAGACTCTCAGCTCACAAGAGTGAGCCACATTTAGTGTGGCAACACTTAGTGAGAGTTGCCAAATTTAGTGGCAACACGGAGAGAAAAGGAGGAGAAGGAACTTCTTCCTTGGCAGCTTTGTGCCGTTTGCACTATTTTCTTTTTCTCCACTGTCAGCCCCATAAACAGCACACAAGATAAAACGTGTCCCTGCTTCAGCCATTATCCATCATCATCATAAAGAAGCTGCAGGTGGTCTTGTCTCCCCCTGCAGTCCATAAACTCCTGGAGAACCTCATTCATAACAGAACCACTGAGGAGTAACTGAAAGCAGAATTTACTCTCTCTGGCCTTTGCCAATATTTCTCTGGATGATGGACAGGCCAGACTGGGATCCAGCTCCTGCTCCTGCAGCTCAGCTGCCTTTGCAGGCATGGAAACAAAAGTGGTGGAAAATACAGCAAGGTTTTTCCGGGTATCTGAGTCTCTTCTTGTGATTACTGCATATTTGAAGGGGCAGGGGAAGACCATGCACTTCATGATCACTATCCACTTTTGAAGACAGACAAGATGGATGCACAAGCAGGATTTGTACTACAGACACATATGCCTTGCTCACCTCAGAGTCCCTGCTTAGCAGTGGAGCCATCACAAAGTGAATTTACAGGAAAGCACTTAAAACATTGAGCAGGGAACTGCTCTGGATGTATATAAATAATTCTTCATGCAGACACAGGTCAGGGGCTTCACTTTTAAAGGCATGACCCAGAATTCCATTACTGGGACCTTACTCCCCACACTTGTAAGGTTTCTGACAGCCTCCTCTGATGCAGCTGTGCTTTCAGAAATAGGCAGTGGGACCAGGCAAGGGGTTCCTCCCCTGTTCCGAAACACAACCCACTTGGAAATGGAACACTGACAGCACTTACCAAAGCAGCTTCTGCATGCGATTGTGCTCCATGCTTTTATTTGAATTCAGCTTATGACTAAGAGATAAACACTTGTATCATCAGTGCCTCAGACTCACACATATTTGCTACCCAATTATTAACTAATCATTAAATCCACCTAAAACCCAGCTTATGCAAAACAAAACAAGGATGAGAAGAACACACAATTTTCAGACAGAAAGGTTATGGAAAGGAAGTGTTTTCTGTCTGTAGCATCCTTTCCAAATGAAACATTATCACAAAGACTCATCCTCTGATTCTTGATCCATGTGTACAACCCACAAAAAGCTTCCATATGTTTCAAAAAAAAGCACTCCTCTCCCACATGCTATCTAAGCCCTTCTCTCAAGAAACACAGTCAGGACAAGGCCAGGCATCCATTTCCACCTCTGCTGAGTTACAGTAAGTCTCTCTGAGGTCCTCAGCCCAGTCAAATTTAGACTTCTTTCTGTGACTGAATGTGCTTCAGGACAACAAAATAATTTCATCATACATCTGGGCAGCCTACCTAGACCCAGAGAAAAAAGGTCTTCATGTGCAAAACCTAATGGGACAGTTGGACAGAACCTTCTACATAGCTTTGAAACAGCAGCTATGAGGAGGTAAATGGTGCATACAGTCTACTGCTCTCTTCCATGCAGGACAAGTTTGCTGCAACATAAAGGAGTTACCACCATGATTCTCCTACAAGTGACAATAATAGCTGACCTTGGGACATACTAGGTGAGCACAACAGGGATCCCCACTCAAAAGGAACATCTGCAGGTGCAACCTGCCCTGCAGCTTCCCAGTCGTAGAAGTGTTCAAGGCCAAGTTGGATGGAGCAACCTGGTCTGGTGGGAGGTGTCCCTGCTCACGGCAGGGGGGGGTTGAAACTGGGTGGTCTTTAAGGTCCTTTCTAACCCAAACCATTCTATGATGATTCTGTGACTCTAGTGGTTGCAATTTAGGAGCACAAAGACGAATGCGCAAAGAGAACCCGATGTTGCCAACAAGTACTGCTGCGGTTTTGCAGAAGCCACCTTGCTGAAGCAAGCCAGGCTTTTTTCAGTGATGTCCAGTGATAGGGCAAGGGGAAATGGATGCAAACTGGAGCATAGGAGGTTCCATGTGAATATCAGAAAAACCTTCTCACCTGTGAGAGTGACAGAGCCCTGGGCCAGGCTGCCTAGAGAGGCTGGGGAGTCTCCTTGGCTGGAGACATTCAAACCCCCCTGGACACGTTCCTGTGTGATGTGCTCTGGGTGCCCCTGCTCTGGCAGGGGGGTTGGACTGGGTGATCTTTCCAGGTCCCTTCCAACCCCTAAGATTCTGTCATTCTGTGTAGCTTCTCAGCAACCTTCAGGAAGAGCAAGACCTCCCCCCTCCTTACCTGGGATGGGGCATAAGCCGGCGGTGCTGCGCCTCGAGGAGCTGCTGCTGGAGGAGGTATTGCTGGTGAA